TACACATGTACCACTGAACTTAAAAGTTAAAAAAACAACAAAAAAGAAGAAAAACAAAAATACCTCTTTGTTCGAGATTACATAGCTTACAAGTCACACAGCTAGAAAGTAATTGAGCTCTTAATGTTGATTATAAAGCTCAAATTCTATGTGGAAAGATTATTTTATCAAACCTAGCTTACATGCCATCTACACACGGTGCCATGATACATGTGTATGGAAACTTTCATGGATTCATTAATTTTTAAATTACGTGTTGAACAATTACTATATGCAAAGTTCTATGCACTGGGGATATACCAGTAAATGACAGTCCATAATATCAGGTAAACAATACTTAAACACTAAATTATATGTCAAGTGATAGGTGCTATGAGGAAGAGTAAAGCATTGAAAATTGAGGGAGTGACGAAGGGAAAAATGCGGTGTGCAATTTTTGATAGAATGGTCAGAGAAGTCCACTCTAATGAGGAAACACTTGTGCAAAGACCTATCTGAGTATATCATACAGAAGGAACAGCATACAAAAGAAGGAAGTGCTTGGCCTGTATACAAAACAGACAGAAGCCAGGGTGGCTGCGGTGGAGTGAGCCATGGGCTGAGAAGATGCATGGCAGGATGTGAGGTCAGATGTAACAGTGAAACAAAAGAGGTCAGAAGAATAGAGTTCATAGAAGACTGTCAAATACAGTTTAGAAGTTCAGTAAGATGAACTCCAAACAAAAAGATCAATGGTCACTCTACTATGGAAGAATATTTTTCAGTTACTCCTAAGTATGACATAAATATTCTTACATGCACAATTGTATTAATCCCATTGGATTAGCCTGCAAAATATGGCCACACATTTTTCTTGCATTTGCAAGTTGAGAGCATTATTCTGTAGTAGAAACATACACTGTAAAATATATAGAAGTTGATAATTTATATAAAAACCAAATCTGTAACATTCACAGAATAACAGCATTCAAAAGTAACTTTTGCTGTTAAAACATTTTCTTGTCTTTTTGAGGAACTTGTGAGTCCAGTTAGAATATATAAATTTTTCTATGTAAAATGTTACTGGATTTGTAAACAACTGTTTTAGGTGGATGCTGGCTCTAACACTTTGGTTTCATGCAGGGATAAGTACTTTTTGGCATTTAATAAAGATAAATAAAATATAAAATTATTCCCAATGAACTAGTTTATTTTCTATTATTCCATGATAGGTATTGTCACTGACAAAAAAAGGGCATACACAAAGTATTTATTCATTAATTTGTTCACAAATTTTTTGGTACCTACTATGCATCAAGGCTTATTCTGGGTGCTGGGGATACAATTATGGATAAAAGAGCAAAAAACCTATTCCATTATGAAGCTTACATGTTATTGGAAAACAAAACAATAAAAATAATATTTAAGTATAATATATGAAATTTAAGTATCAAAGTAATAGATGTTGAAAAGCAGGGAAATACAATATAAAATATTTGAAGGAAGAAGTGCAATTTTAGACAGAGTGGCTAGAGAAGGATTTTTTTTTTTTTTGAGATGGTATCATTTGGAATTAATGCCTGAAGAAAATCTAAAAGTTTGCGAAAGTATTCTAAACAGAGCAAACATGACGTGCAAGAAAGAAGCCAGGATGACCATAACAAAAAGAACCAAGAGGAGAGTACTGGGAGAGAGGTTAAAGAGTTAACAGAGACTAAACCATGTAGGGCCTAATAAGTCACTATGAGATCTTATTTCTCCCCTCAGTGAATGGTAAACCTCTGCAGCAAGTGTTCAAAAGAACTTTCTGCAATGACGGAAAGGTTCTGTGATATCTACTATGTTAGCCACCACATGTAGCTACTGAGTACTTGAAATTTGGCTAGTGCAACTGAGGCATCAAAATTTTAATTAAATTTAATTATAATTAATTAAATTTGAATAGCCACACATGACTAGTGATTACAGTCTGGCATAGTACAGCTGTGGAGATTTCTAAGCACAGGAGCAGAGGGATTTACATTTTAACAACAGTCACTCAGGCTGTTGTGCTGAGGATGGACTTTAGGAGGACAGGGGAAAATATAAAAAGAAAGACTATATATCATGCTGGTACAATAAGTCAAGTGAAATATATAAATAAGACTATATATCACGCTGTTACAATAAGTCAAGTGAGAATGATATGGCTTGGACTAAGGTGATCCAAGGTAATGGTGAGAAGCAGTCAAAGCTGGATATGTTTTGTGGCAGTGTCAGTAAGATTTGCTGAAGGGCTCAGTGTGGGATGTGTAAACAGCAGTCAAGGACGGAGCAACATTTATGGCCTCGGGAACAGTAAGAATGGAGTTGCCTTTGGCTGAGATGGAGAAAAATAGAAGAGAAACTGGTTTGGAAGAAAATATTAGAAGCTCAGTTTTCATATGTTAGGTGTGAGATGACTATTAGATAATCAAGTAGAAGATGCCAAGTGGACAGATGAATATACAGACCTGGAGATGGGAGAGATCTGGACTTGCAATAATAAATTTTGGAGTTATCAACATACTAGGAGTATTTTTAAGTTATGGGACTAGATAAAATTGTCTAGAGAGTGAATAAGACAGAAAAGAGAAGAGGTCCAATGATATTAGCTGAGCCCTATTAGTTAATAAAATACTAAGGAGGATTAAACAGAACAAAACCTATGCTTAAAGGTTTAGAGTTCAGTGACACCGTTAGTAAATGATCATAAAAACATTGTGGGTTTTTTTCAGATAGTTGGCAGAAATTAATGTGCAGGAAAGAAGATGCCTGCTCTTCTGAGGGCTCAGGCCATGCTTTCTGTCAGTCTAACGAGAGGTCAGAAAGGTTGTTGACCAGCTAGCACAGGACGCATCTGACATGATACCACATGACTGCTACTACAGAGGTCACTGTCCTTTAGCTGTATTCTAATTACATAAGGAAATAATTAAAACCCAAACCATGTACTGCTTTATATAGCTAAGGCAATATCCTGAATCATACCAGCTGCGTAGCAATATAATGTTACAGTCCTGACTACATATAAGTAAGTATTAAGAGATAAACCCAATTCAGATAACACAAAAGGGAGACAAGGTCTGTAGATGGTAAAATGCTCAGGTTATTGTTAGTGTGTGTAATGGTTAAATTTTATGTCAACTTGGCTAGGCTATAATGCCCAGTTGTTTGGTCAAACATTAGTCTAACTGTTGCTGTGGAGGTATTTTGTAGATATGATTAACATCTACAGTCAGTTAACTTTAAGTAAAGGATATTACCCTCAAGAATGTGGGAAAGGCTCATCCAATCAACCAAAGGCCTTAGCAAAAGCTGAGGTTTCCTGGAGAAGAAATTCTGCCTCAAGGCTGTAACACAGAAATCTTGCCTGAGTTTCTAGCCTGCCAGCCTGTCCTACAGATTTCAGACTTACCAGCTCCCATGATCTCACGAACAAATTCCTTAAAATAAATTTATTTAATGAATATAAATATCTCTGGAGCATCCTGACTGATACAATCTGCCTCTATTTGTACAAGCAGTGTGATACTATGTAAGTTTTATTTAACCTCTTTCAGCTTCAGGTTTTTCCTGGTAAAATGGAGAACACCTCAATGTCACCCTTAATAAAGATGTTCAAGGATAAAGGAAATAATCCATGTAAAGTTCTTAGTATGGTACCTAGCACATAACAAATAATAAATGTTAGAGGTCATGGGTTATTGCTATTATTATGATAAATATTAAGTGTTGACTATTTTAAAGACATATAATTTTACCTTAAATCCAAAAATAATAAAGTTTAAAAAAATCTGTCTTACACTCATAATCCCAGGAAGTTGGTTAAATACCATCCTACTCATATTCTAGGTGTTTTTCTCTAACTAACAGTTTTTTTTTTTTGAGACAAAGTCTCATTCTGTCACCCAGGCTGGAGTTCTGTGGCACAATCTTGGCTCACTGCAACCTCCGCCTCCTGGGTTCAAGCAATTCTTGTGCTTCAGCCTCCTGAGTAGCTACAATTACAGGCACCCACCACCACGCCTGGCTAATTTTTATAAATTAGTAGAGACGGAGTTTCACCATGTTGGCCAGGTTGGTGTCAAACTCCTGACCTCAGGTGATCCACCCGCCTTGGCCTCCCAAAGTGCTGGGATTACAGGCATGAGCCACTGCACCCGGTCAACAGAATCATTTTTACCAAGGCTCTTCTTAGTAGTGTCCTGTTTACATTTCACCAGCCAACTCTGTCAAACAGAGATTTAATAAACTCTGCCAAACAGAGATTTAATAGAAACATTTAGTGGGGTCAAATAAAATAAAAATATAAAAGGAAGAACATCAGCAATCTAAATATACTGACCTGTTTCACTACTAGTTTTCCAGAAAACTTCATTGTACAGATAACAACAACAAGAACAACAAAAATAATTGTATGTCCACAAAACTTTAGGGAGAACATTTGTGATTTATAAACAACCAAATTTTAGTTTTAGTTGTACTACATTACCATAAACAACCATATTTTGAGATGAAAATCTTCCCTTGGTAAGACTGAATAGAAAATTACGAAAGAAAACTTTTTAGAAGAACATATTACTTCTCTATGTATATGCTTATACATGCTTCTGTATAAAAAAGAATGATACAACTTTAATAAATAGGACGAGTTGACTCTAAAAGATTCTTTTTTAAAAAGAGTCACTTCTTATACCTAAACATCTGTGTTACATATGAAAGACAGTAGACTAAAATACTTGCCTAACCGTATTTTGTATTATGTTGCATATTATTATAAAGTAGACATAACTTCCATTGCAGCTACTATAAAAAGTTTAGATTTTCCCTTAAACTCTTCTGATGAAGAATTATTAAAGATTTCAGAAAAAATTTCAATTAATTTTTTTATATTTTAAATTATATTTTTAAATGACTTTTAAATTTGTAGCCATTTTTTTATTACCAACTATTATAATTAACCTATGAATCGTTATTTACTCTAATTTATTAAAACTCACCTATGAGAAACTGCTCCCCAAGCACCATGTTTATTTGTGAGAATATTGAGAATCTTCTGTTTCAGCTGATTTGCTGTTACATGGTCTCGATGTTTTGCAGCACTGATCAGATGGTCACACATCTTTTCTTCCTCTCTTCTATCAGCAGCATACTGGGCACACTGTGACTATAAAGAAATACAAACGATGCACAATAATAAACTTTTTACTGCGTATAAGTAAGGATGATATACATCTAAGTTAAAGGGTAACAGGAATTCAATTTTTTAAAACTCAATGTAATCTTTTGATATTTTGTTCTAAAGAATACATATTGTCACCTTTCAAATATAAAAAGTGCTCTTTCCAAAGTACATGTAAAATAATTTGAATAATATTGAAGTAATTAAAGACTTATGGTTTCTTCCAATTCTGAGAATCTAATTTTTATGTATTTTAGAAGCACAAATATTTACTATGAATGTAAACCTACTTGTTTATCAAGCCAATACAGTATATCTCACTTAAAATAAGTGGCATGTTGCTGATAATTACATATGGATCAAAAATCTGTCACTTAATTTATAGTTTTCCATTTCATGAATGGTAATGTGATATAGAAGAAAATGTAGTCATTTAGGAATTCAGTAGACCTGGATTTCAATTCACAAAATACACAAACTCCATATATTTTAATGTACTCAGTTTCATATTTGTAAATGAGGAGCTGAGACAAGATTTTTTCTACGATCTCTCCACATTCTTAAAATGTAATATGTTCAAACAGTTTCACGAGAACTACAACCTTATTCTTACCTCCCTTTTCCCATAATTATCAGTTGTCATGTCAGCTATCTGACGTGTATTCATTCTTACATTTGTTAGCAACACTGTTGATCAATGGATCATTTTTTGTATTAAAAATATTTCATGTAAATATGAATAGGAACATTAATTATAAATTTGGTTCTTTTTATTGTAGTTTTTATAAAGAAAACTACAATAAATGCAGAGTAGTGTGACTATAACTTTTAACATTAATAAACTTGTAATACAAGTAATATAACTAGGAAGAAAAAAGTCTCATACATCTGATAAAATAAATAGAACTAGTTCACATTCATCATTACTATGCAAAAATCTATTTCATGGAAGGCACTTGAACATATTCCTCCCATTATCTATTGATATACACTACTACCACAAGTAATCTCTTCTGGAGAAATAACCCTACAGTAATCTAAGAAGGATTAATTCATTTTCCAATTTATCTTTTTGTACAGGGAATCACCAATTAGTACAATGATCTGCCTCAGTAATGAGCTTAATATTTCATTAGTTCACTGGAGAGTAAAATTAAATTTTCATTTTTCTTCCTTAACAATTACAGTAGCTAACTAAAAAAACTTAACTGTGAAGTACCCATCTAATATCAAATATACTTTTCTTCCTAATTATAGGCTGATATGTGGGATAGAAAAATTCCTCAAAAAGTTCTAGCAAAATGTCCTGACTTGTAAAATCTTTTACAATTTAAAAGGGATATCTTTGTGTAAACCACGCACACACATCAACAGCTCTAACCCAAAAAGAAGAGATAGAAACATTCAGGTTAAAAAAATAAGGTACAATCATCAAATAACATTGGCATACAATCAAAATTAGATTTACATTAATATTATATTTTATGTATATAAAATCTAAAAAACACTAAGTTTTCATGTGTCCTCGGAAACCACTTATCACCTTGGGAGTTGACCCACAATGAGGGTAATCTCATTCCTAAGAGTGAAAAATTGGTGTGTGTTGCGTGGGGGATACAAATATTGTTATTTCAGTACATAAAACACAAATGTACGTAAGTACAAAAACAGATGTGCAGCCTATGGGTGGTATTATAAAATTTCTTTGGGATGAGTGGCCAATTAGGCAAAATGTCTAAAAGGACTCCTAGGGAATCGATAACAACAACGAAAACGGTTGAGAAACTGCCCTTGGCCTAATGTCACCTTGGTCAAACATGTGTTAAAGCTCATAACTAATATCCAACCACTTGAAAATCTACTTTAAATGTTTCCACATAACAAATATTGATCTGCTTATATCCCCACAAAATATCTTGATTTTCTTAGTGGAAGTACAGACACTCAAAACTGATCCTGCAGGGAATTCAGTTGAGATTCCAAATCTTATTTACTACCACGAAACTTCACTTTGATAGACACTTAAAGATCACTATACTTTTATTGAAGTTTAAAATATCTGGTATCTTTTCCAGAATATGGTTGCTGCAATTTCACAAGACAAGTGCCTGCTTGTCTCGTGCCTCTTCTGACCGAATGAAGCAGAGGTCATGTGTTTGAAAGCAACAGTGGCTATTTTCCTGTCTCATGCTTTTCAGCTAGCCAGGTCAGAGATCACTAGACACAGTCTATCAACGTGTATGACTCACAGAGCTGCTTTACTGAGATAAAAACCTCATCAAAACTAGAATTGTGGGCTCTGATTTCCAGCTACACCATACTTGTTAGCCTGTTGTATCAGGAGAATAAATTGGTGGGTCATTTATTACTTTCAAGCCCAAGGTAAGCCAAACACCAGGGCGCATAAATATTTCTGGAACCTATTTTGTCTTGTAAATGGAATAAACTGAAATAATTAATAACTGTTATACATAAAACATATAAATTGAAAGATTTTTTTGAATGTTATATGAGTTTATTCATATAACTGTATCATATACTCATATCGACCTATTGGTGTGTAAATATCTGCTAGCTTAAAATAACTAAAATTGTTGCATTATAAATTATTTTTTGCATTTACTCTTGAGTAGGTTAGAGTAACTTCAGTCTACCAAATGGTTAGGCACATATAGGGCAGAAGGAATGTTTTCATGCTGTAAATGGGGTGAAAATAAATTAGTACTCTGTGTTTGACATTTACTAAAGCTTTTAAAAAACAGGAACAGAAATGCCTTCAGTGAAATTTTCCTTTTAAAAAACATTCTTATGTAAGGTCACAGATAGGTGATTTTTGGCTTATAACAGAAATGCAGAATTTAGTGTACTCCCAAAACCTTACCTCAAACTCTGCATGTTTATGTACATCTTCGGCTCTCTGTCTGTTCAAAATAAACTCAGCTTCATTTGCAACACGAACTATATGGTCCTTCATAGCATGGCACAGTAATCTAAAAAGAAAAATACCTTTAGAAATATTATTCTTAATAGCTTTGGTTAGTCCAATTTTTTTCAATAATCAGACTGCAGTATTTCAAATATATGTTTTAGATAAAGCTAGATATAAAACTAATATATTTTAAATTATGATTCAATAAAATGTGAAATATAGAAAGATGTCATAAAACTGTTGTATCAATTCCTCTGTTAAATAGTGTGTCTTGTGAATCAGCAACTCAGTTAATTCAATTAAGATAGGTTACTTAAAAATAAAAAATTCTGGTTGGAGTGTTTTAAAATGGTTATGCAACAGAACTCACTATCTTAGAGGTAATTTTTCACAGATAAGTTCAATGACCACACTTTAGGAAATCAATAGACTAGATTCTTATGTTTTTTTTTTTTTACATTGTACCTCAATAAAATTTTTAAAAATATAGGATACCCAGTTAAATTTGAATTTCAGATAAACCATGTAGATTCTTACTTTAAATAATGCAGAATGATAGAACTAAATGACATCTAAATTCTTTTAAATGCTGAGATTCCAAATTCTAATATGGAACTACAGTTAAAGTTCAACCATAGAACCGAATTTTTTAACTACAGAAGTTACTTTTCGAGAAGATTTGAATTAGTTTTTAAATGTGTAGTAACATTTACAGTGAAAAGCCTCTCACTATGTCCTCTAGTCGCCAAATTTTCAACCTCAACAGATACCCACTGTTATGCCTGGGTGTGTTTCAGAGACTTCTAAAATATACAAATAAAATACAAATATATTATTTTCCCTCACTTCCTAACACTGATAATTATTAGTACGTTATACAGTCTGTTTTTTACCCAGCTTTTCTCACATAGCAATGTATCTTGGATATCTTTTCACATGTACACACAGGGAGCTTCTTCTAACTTCTTTTGTAACACGTGGCAGAGATTACTTCCAAAGATGGCTGCAACAACATTTCTCATTCCACATGCTCTCTTTTGCAGTGTGACTTTGTCATTAAAAAATGGAGACTTTTGCTACTCCTTGTTGATCTGGACTTGCCCTGTGACTTCCTGTGAGCCACAGAATACAGCAGAAGTGATGCTATGCGACTCCTGAAGCTAGGACTAAGATGCCAGGCAGCTTTTGACATTTTTTGAACTCTCTTCTGGACTCTGTTGCTCCCCTGAGAGAAGCCTACATGACATGGAGCACATTGAAGAGCACAGAGCTGCTCGGGCTCTCAGGCCTAGATGAGGTCTCAGCCCAAAGTAAGTCACATTCAGGACACTGCAGACCCAGACAGCTCCACATGGAGCCAGAGAGAACTGCTTAGCTGAGCCCAGGCAATGAGAATCATGAGAAAGAAAAAAACTGATTACTGGTTTAAGCCACAAGATGATGATGATGATGGAGGAGATGGAGGAGGAGGAAGAGGAGGAAGAGGAGGGAAGATAATATTGATTATAACAATTAATATCATTTTGTTTTTCACTGTGTCAATTAAAAACAATGATTTGACCTTTTCTAGTCTTCCTCAATTTTTTTTTTTGGCAAAAAGTAATTACTGTATGTTAAACACACACACACACACACAAATAATATTTAAAAAGCTACCCTCAAGTCTTTCTGGGCTTTCCTTAAAGGGGAAGCTTAAGAAGTAGTTTCAGTTCCTTTATCTATGTCCTTTTTACATTTCATCCTAATTCTCATATTCCTTCATAGTACATTTTTTCTTTCTGGGGATTTTAATCAGAAGTACTACTTCAATAACAGCATTACTTATTTTCACTGCTCATTAATGAAATACATCAACTTTTTTTGCTCAAGTTTTCATAAATATAAATCAGATGGGAATAGATTTAACTTTGTTTTAATTTCTGTACTTACTAAATACTGAGTCCTAGTAATTCCTTCTATATTCTTCACTATATCATGTCTACCTGTGGCAAACTTTCTTCTTTACTGACACATAAATATAAGCAGAAGAAACAAAATATCATTATATATTCTGATATTTCTAATTTATTGTTTAAATATAATTTTAAAAGCCTACATATGTCTTTGAGGTAAGCGTGACTATATTGGATTTATTTGTTCTTTCTAATATCAAGGTTGAATTACAAAACATGAAGTTTTCATCTTTCCACCAAATTACTTGCAATATCTTTGTGGCATTTTCTATAAAAACCGACAGGTGAATGGTTCCTTTATTTTAGGGTGGTAATGTAAATACTGAGCAACACTGAATTCACGATAGTTCTCAGTAGAAATCTGTCTAAAATCCATGTCTGCTCGGACATAGATTTAACCACTCCTTGATGAGATTTAGGTTAAATAACTACTCTGTCACTCTAGGACCAGTGGGAATGGTTCTGACAGTATGACAGCAGCACCAGTAAAATCTTGCATAGCAGCAGGATAGGTGCAGATATTTCCTAGAAGCATGGAGCAGTAATCTCTCCAATCTCTTGAGGGGGACATAGGCACATTCTAATGGGAAAGTTGTCTAGTTTTCCATCTAAAAGTTAACCACAACACAAATTATTAAAAGAATACAAAGGTTATGGAAATCTGTTAGGCATGACGATACTTAGGAAAAAAGATAAAAACTCCTCTGTAAATGATGTTGGAGGGCATACAGTCTTAATCACTGAGGGAAATGGAAAATTAAAATAAGCTAAAAAAGAAAATCATGTAAACTTTGATTATTAACTTTTGATCATATTATCAACCTACATTTTGTAGAGAGGCTTCAAAAGAGAGAAGAGATGTGATATTAGAATATTCCGTTCAATGGCTTTGTCTAGTGCATGCTGAAGGCTGAAGAAAGCCAGGAAGAAATCTAATATGTGCCAATCAGTGTAGATCACAAAACTTAAATAGATTAACAGGAGACAGCAGGAAGGGAAGGGCACATGGTCTGGCTGGTTAATACATATCATTCCCAGGAGCAAAGCAGTGGATTAGCAAAGCAAAGAGGCATGGCGGTGGGGGTGGAGGCTTTGTAACAAAAGACTCCTGTCCTCAGACACACCAAAGAAATTGTATCAGTTTTCCAAAGTCTGTTCCCCTATCTTGGGCACTTATGAGTTCTGCCAACTGATCTATGCTGTTTTATTTACAAGAGGAGAAAGTATCTTTCTATGACTCTTGCCACCATTCTGAATGACCTCATTACCCACATGGAAAACACTGATCACAGCAGCGCACAATTCTTTGACTAGTTAACTTGAAAGATCTTCAAATCTCCCTCACTTCAGCAAATAAATCCAATGGCCATAAGTAGCTTCATTTCACAAATCTTCATGCTTTAAGTCTACTCTCAGATCATGATCTCCTATCCTTGCTGCTCTCTTTCCTCTTGTGCTTAAAAATTCACTTCCTTTTGCATCCATCTGGGATCTCACAATTCCATGTTTCAACCACTCTTGCCAACACCTTCCCTTAACTCCTGATCTACCTGCTGCACTGGAGTTAAAGATACGTAACACTGGGTTAACACACTGGTCTCCTTCCTCAGTCTTACATCTAGGCTGTTAAGGAAAGTAACAAAATGAATTTTGACTGAAGATAAAATCTGTATTTCTTTTTGACAGTCAAATTGTTTTTAACTCAGGTTTTAAGAGGCTACACGAATGTCTTTACTATCCTAAGCTCACTTACTTAAAAAACTAGTATATGTAAATAAATAAATAAACCACTCGGCTGCACTTGGTGTTTATCAGTCTCTTGTTTCCTTAACAAATTATTTTATCTCAAATATGTATATATGCCAAAGCAATATGTTGTTCAGATTGCTTGTTTGTGAGTTTTATAAATAAAACTGCAGGTTTTCTATACATACTGTTTTTTAAATTAAAATAGTTCAAAATTCTCTTCTACTCCTAATTTGCTAAGAGTATTCTTTCTAATCATGAATGTTACTGACCTTTACTAGATGTCTGCACCTACTAAGATGATCATAAAGGTTTTCACTTTTAATGTGATAAATGAATGACATTTTTAGAAATTTTTAAAATGATGAACAACTCCTGCATTCATGGGATAAACTTCCCTCATCACCCTCTTCCAGTTTGCCCCACATATACATGTTATCTTTTTATACACAGTTGAATTGAGTTCTGCTAATACTTCTATTAGAACTTACAGCTCTATATTCACAAGGGAGACTGGTGTGTGATTTTCCTTTCTCCCACACGTCTTGTTTGCTCTTATAATTGAGATTACACAGGCCTCAATGAACACTCTGGATCATTCCCTGTCTCTGATCTCTAGGAGTTTGTGTAAGTTTGGAACAGTGTTTTACTTGAACATTTGGTAGACTATCCTGTAAACTATTTGGGCTTAGAGTTTTCTCTACAGGAAGAAATTTTACTGATTAACTTCCTTTCATACTTAAAGAACTATTGAGGGTTTTGTTTCTTCTTATTCAGTTATAGGAAGTTGTATATTTTCTAGGAAATTGCTCGTTTCATTTAAATTTGTAATTTTAATGGTATAATGTTTTGATAGCAGTCTCATTTTCTTTTCTAATTAGTTTTGGCTATAATTCTGTCTCCTTTTCATTCTGTGTGTTCACTATTTGTGTTGTTTTATTTTGTTCTTAATCTTAGAAGTTTGCTCATTTCTTATTAGTTAATGAATAAACATTTATCTTTGTTAATCTTCTCCACTGTATCTTATTTTTCTATTTCCCTGATTTCTGTTAGACTTCATTATTATCAGCTTTCTTCTACTTTGTGAAGGGGTTCTGTCATTTTCCTAACTTGGATTTTTTTTTTTTTTTTTTTTTTTTGCAGTTAGAGATTTAGTTCATTAATTTTAGGCTTTTCTCTCAAGTAATAAGCTTTTATGCAAATAGATTTATCTTCAAGTTTCATTTTCCTTACATTCTACAAGTTGTTGTATTTAGTATATCTATTATTGTTTAGTCTAAATACTTTTTATGTTTCTTTGAAATATAAGTTATTTAAATGTTCAAAATTCTTTAGCAGTAATGAGAATATTTTAATATAATTT